AAAATGAACATGTTTTTTTTTCTTAGACTAACATGTTTATTAACACGATGAATATGTTGATTTTGTACAAGATTAATAAGTTGATTTTGTACGTAATATGTTTTCTTAACATGAGGAATATGTTTCATTGTAAAATAAACATGTCAAATTATAAGATGAAGATGTTATGTTATAAGATGAATATATTTTATTATCAATTGAAAATGTTAAATTATAAGATGAACGTGTTTATTAACACGATGAATATGTTGATTTTGTACAAGATGAATAAGTTGATTTTGTACGTAATATGTTTCTTAACATGATGAATATGTTTCATTGTAAAATGAATATGTCAAATTATAAGATGAAAATATTATGTTATAAGTTGAATATGTTAAATTATAAGATGAACATGCTTCTTTCTCAGATGAATAAGTTGATTTTGTACGTAATATGTTTTTTAACATGATGAATATGTTTCATTTTAAATGAACATGTCAAATTATAAGATGAAGATGTTATGTTATAAGATAAATATGTTTTATTATCAGCTGAATATATTAAATTATAAGATGAACATGTTTCTTTCTTAGATGAACATGTTTATTAACACGATGAATATGTTGATTTTATACAAGATTAGTAAGTTGATTTTGTACATAATATGTTTTCTTAACATGAGGAATATGTTTCATTGTAAAATAAACATATCAAATTATAAGATGAAGATGTTATGTTATAAGAGGAATATATTTTATTATCAGTTGAATATGTTAAATTATAAGATGAACATGTTTTATTTCTCAGATGAACATGTTTATTAACACGATGAATATGTTGATTTTGTACAAGATGAATAAGTTGATTTTGTACGTAATATGTTTCTTAACATGATGAATATGTTTCATTGTAAAATGAACATGTCAAATTATAAGATGAAAATGTTATGTTATAAGATGAATATGTTTTATTATCAGGTGAATATGTTAAATTATAAGATGAACATGTTTCTTTCTTAGATGAACATGTTTATTAACACGATGAATATATTGATTTTGTACAAGAGAATAAGTTGATTTTGTACGTAATATGTTCTTAACATGATGAATATGTTTCATTGTAAAATGAACATGTCAAATTATAAGATGAAGATGTTATGATATAAGATGAATATGTTAAATTATAAGATGAACATGTTTCTTTCTCAGATGAACATGTTTATTAACACGATGAATATTTTGATTTTGTACAAGATGAATACGTTGATTTTGTACGTAATATGCTTCTTAACATGATCAACATGTTTCATTGTAAAATGAACATGTCAAATTATAATATGAAGATTTTATGTTATAAGATGAATATGTTTTATTATCAGCTGAATATGTTAAATTATAAGATGAACATTTTTCTTTCTGAGATGAATATGTTTCTTAACACGATGAATATGGTGATTTTGTACAAGATGAATATGTTTCTTAACATGATCAAGCTGAATAATATTTTAATTATTAAGACTTAAAATATTTGAACTTTGTCATTCAATAATTAACTAAAAATTATCATGATATATTAATTATATTTACTTTATTTGAGACCCGTAATGAAGCACAGTTGTCCAGGCAATACTAGTATTGCCCATTTGATCTCTCTAGCACCCAACCATTTAAATCCAGTTAACTTGGGAAACTTGGCAAGCACAATAACTTTCTTTTGATTGACTCCAAGCTTCCAGTATAACAACTAAGTAGGAGCAACACCAATTCAAAGTTATAGAGCCAACCATGAGATACTAAGATAAATCCTTGGATATCACTGTTCTATGTCATTGATAACAAATCCTATCAGACATGATAACATAGAGCAAAATGAAAAGTATCAACATGTTAATCATCCATCAGGCTGGGTTTTTACAATTACAAACTTATAAGACTATCCAAACCTCTACGCCGCACTTGTTCAAGAGTAAACAATAAAATCACAGAAAAGAGCCTAATACAATCTTTAATCATTCGAGCAAGACATATATACAAATCAATTGAATAGTTTTTCTTCTTTCTCACACACTTGAAACTAGTACATTTGTTATTACCCAGCAAATTTTAATGAAACCCACAAAGGTGTGACACTAAAATAAATGCCTCAATCAAAATATAACAGAAGTTAGTGAAATAAGCCTCTGTTCTTCATTCAAAAAAGTCTTAAGAAAAAAAAAATGTAGATTTCTATTTCAAAACCTCGCCTAAAATCCCTCAGGCATGGATCACAAAACCAACATAAGGCAACAATGTTCACTTGATCAGCTAATTCAACTAGCTAATCAATCTATCCAACTAAACACTCAACTCTCGAGCTACTCAAGTCGCCTCTCGTTCAAATTGAAGAATGAAACCAAACGTTAACACAAAAAATAAACATAATAATAAAAAAAAAACAGCTATCGACCTGATTTCGTCTAAAGAATATCGATCACGGGATCTCCAGAAGGAAAACCACATACTTTCTAAGAGCTTGCGATCACACTTTCCTTCTCCCTCGCAGCAAATTTCATCCTCGGGAGCTCCTTCAGATTATGATAAAAAAATATCCGGGCAGAATTTAGGCTCAAATCAAATACAATTACCAGAGAGAAAGGCATCTTTGATTTCCTATCAAATAAAGCGATTAGTGAAATGACATAAAATAAGATTAGAGAGAACAACAATATGTTTCCTGTTGTATTCTCTCAGCCAAGTTCCGAATATCTAAGAAATTCTTCCTCATCACGCTGTTCACTGCAAATGTCATGGCATATGCTACACATGGAAAGCAAATACACATTATTATTCTGCCCAAGATACAACAAACTAACCACTCAATACGGTACCAAACCTTAGTAAGCTTTGATCTAAAATCAAATAAAGACAAAAGTACTCAATAAATTAGGGGTGGGAGCGGTCCGAGACGGTCCGAGATTTGACCTATCCCGGTACCTATCCCTTTTTTTTAACCGGTCCAGGAACGGTCCGAGATGAGACGCCGTCCCAAATGGATCGGTATCAATCGGGACCGGGACAAAAACGGTTCGGGACCGGGACAAAACGGATAAAAAAAAAACTCAACCAAATATTTATTCCATTCAAAGAATCAATATACATCAAAAGTTTATAACAAACTTACAAACAACACATGTTGTCATTCAAGCATCCTGCATTCATTAAAGTTCATTAAAATTTAAAACAACATAATCCAAAGTTCATTAGTCGACTACTTCACTTACTCCAAAGATATTCTGTTTAGTTAAACCAAGAATTAAACCAAAGACATACATATACTCATCTGATTCACTTGAACATTGCCTTCAATATTAACCACTAACCATTCTTAAGTTTTTTAATTTTTTTGGGCCAAATGATTGAGCTTTTATATATAACAAAATACAAATCAAAGGCTGAAAGAACAACCTGAACTAGTGTGTAGTGAACTGAGGTTTATATAATTAGTGAACTGAGGTTTACTAATAACTTACTATATTATTAATATAAATATAATTATAATTTATATATATATAATAATTTTGTAACAAAAAAATAAACGCGACAAACGGGACAAAAATGTTCAAAACCGATACCGACATTGTTTCAAACTGTTCGGTACCGGGAACGGTATGAAAATTGAAAAAATCGTTTGGAACCTTGTTTTTCGGAACGGGACCATTTCGGTCCGGATCGATACCAGGAAATTCTGTTTTTTTTTTTAAGTTAGATTAAAGTTGAATAAATTGGATAAACAATTGAATAAACCCTAGTACAACCCCGCTTATGAACTTGTCGACATCCATGATTCAATTACATACGAGCTCGCCTCCAGTTAACATATTATATCTTAAACCTAAGCTATCGCCAAACCCGCAGAGCAAATAACACGAACAATCAATCCATGGTGTATAAAAACCCTAACGAATCAATTATGCAACGACAAACTTAATAACCATCTCGCATAGATGTATAGATCGGGAACATGAACTTACTGCTCATGTCTGGCTTTAGGATCTTCTTCTTCGGGGTACTTAGAGAGCTTTCACCCCAAACAGTGGAATCTGAAAATCAGAATTCCCAATCTCCGCCATTGGTGGTCGGAATTTCTCGGACCGAACGGAATTCTAGGAGAAGATATCTGTCGCTTCACCCCCTGCTGGTAGTTATTCGTGTTGGGTAATAAAATTGTTCGAAGATTAAATGTTGGGAGAGATGAATGGGCTGTTTAATGTTAGAAGAACAATGAAGAAGAAGGAAGAAAATGAAGAAGAAGATTTTTATTTGTTTTTTTCGAAGGAAGAAGAGAAAGAATTGGAATCGTAAAAGATAATTTTAGGTTACGATGAATTGTATTTTGAATTTGTAGGATTGTTATATAAATTAGATAAGTATGTGGGTTTGAAAATAAATAAAATAGGTACAAGGGATACAAAGGGTATAATAGGTTTTAACAAGTACGATGGGTACAAGACAAAGTACAAGCCTACCAAAATTCTTTTTTGCTTTGTACCCTTAAATTCACCGTTAATTTCTATTTTTCAGTCAATCTAATGGTGAAATAAGAGGATACCTAATGTTAAGTAGGTACCAGAGATATCTGACCTAGAAAGTCCCATAAAGTTATCTTCTTTGAGGATATACATTTCGTATTCCCTACTCACATTTGACATTCGAACACGTTAAGGTTCCATGCAACTTCTTCTCTTGGACCTGACAAATGATATATTATGATGACTGCCGTATTATATCTTCCATTCTTTAGCTTGTAAATTCACAAAACATGACTTTGTCAACCTGTTCAGTTAAAACCTTATTAATTTGCCGAAACATATCATATGATGATTTTGTTATTATTATTATTATTATTATTATTATTATTATTATTATTATTATTATTATTATTATTATTATTATTATTATAGAAAATCACATCTAAAAGCCGAAGGTCCATAAATGAGCTAGCACAGCTGGAACTGAACGGAATTCCTCTAACAAGCCGAAATGAAGCCATCTCACTGTAGCCTGTACTTGACCAACAATGAGTGCATCACAAAGTTTGGTCCAAATTACAACCACGGCTTGCAAGACAAAATCGAGTCCCCTATTCCATGGATCGGCATGTACACTGCAGCAGCTTCCGCAGCCTTCTCCCTGGCCATGGCAGCCGACGCAGTGAGCGCCATCCGAAACAAGAAGCTGTGGGTCCCATGTAAACGTTTCTCTCTCAATGCTTCCCTGACCGTCTTGGCTATCGCCATGAAGCTGCCCGTCGACCTCACGACTCGGATGCCCAGAATTAATGACAAGCTTTCGCGGGTCAGCAGCCTCGTCCTGATGTCCACCGCAATAGCTAATTTCATGCCGTCCCTGGGAGCCATGGAGGACAATGAGATCCCGCCAAATTTAGCCGCACTCGCCATTTTTGTGGTCACGGTTGCCGGCAACGTTTTCATTCACGTGGTCAAACTGAGGAATTTTTACGTCGCGAGAGTGACGCTAGCTGAGAAAACGGCTTCCACCGTTTTCGTGCTACTTCTGCTCGTAACACTATGTTCCCTGGCCGTGATGGTCCCTATTGCGAGGCGGCACATGGAGTCGCGGTACAAGCAAATGCACGAGAAGATAATGAGTTCATCAGGAGGATTAATAAACCTCTTAGCCGGCGAGCTTAGGGTGGTAGTGAGAAAATATTGGGTGATGGCCGAGAGCCGAGCCCTGCAGTTAGTCGTGGCACGGTCCGCCGCGGGCGCTACCTCGGGCGCTTTGTCTATGTTGGCGGCTCTAACTCTTGTGGAAGCTTACGTCCGGTTGACTTTCGTCTACAGGGATGCGCGGCGCCTGACGTCCAACTACAAGTGGTCCGTAAATTGGATCTTGTGCATTCAATCTTTGGGCGTGGTGTTGGGAATGGTTGCTCCACTTTTGAGATGGTTCTCGGCTGCTCAGCTGAAGAGCACCGAGATCGGACGGAGGAGCTTAATGGAAGAGCTTCGGGTCGAGGCTCACTGGACCCAGTTGCTCAAGGACTGGAGGGACCGACCTCTGCCCTTGAGAACTGGACACCACCAGTTCAGGAAAGCCGCCCACGAATCAAAGAGGCTGCTCCTGAGCCTCTGCATAGGGCTTCAGATCCTGACCGTCCGTGTCAACAAACTGATTCTACTCGGCTCGGCCGTCCTCGTGAGAGGGCTTACATGCTGCTACAACACCTCAGTGGGACCGGACGAGATGGACATCGGCCGCTATGTTCTTCTGCTGGAGGGCGAAGCGGAGCTGCCACAGCAGGCTGTGGTGGGCATGTGCCGGGCGG